ACTTTTTTTTTTAAATTTGTGTTGCCTTAGTACGAATATTGATGTTTTTATGTCTACTCATTACTATGATGTTTCTGACATTTTTCGTACCTTACTTATCCTATAAATTTTTTTTTTTTTAATTTTATGCGCTTATACATATACTATGAGTTTTTTTGTTTATTTTTTTTTTTTGTTTTTATCTTTTTTATGCCTTATGTACAATTATGGCCATTTTATTTACATTTTCATGCCTCACTATACTATGATGATTTTTTATGCTTTACTGTAACTATGACATTTTTTGTTTTTTACGCCTTACTATACTTATGAACATTTTTTTTTACAATTTTACGCCTTTACGTATACATATGACATTTTGTTTTACATCTTTATTACGCTTTGATACTAGATACTATGACGTTTTTGCACCATCTATACTATGAACGTCCTTTTCATTTTATGCCGATCTATACTATGACGTTTTATGCCTTACATATATAAATGGACTTTATTTGTTTCTATTAGCCCTTACGTATACTATGACATTTTTTGACATACATATACTATGACTTTTTTTTTTTGATTTTTTATAGCCCTTATTACAATATAACGGTTTTTTATAATCCTTACACTATAGTATGCATGATTTTTTGACATTACTATACTAATGATTTTTTTTTTTTTTTACGAGTTTTATGCCTCAAGTATAACTATGTACGGTTTTTTTTGATGCCATACTATGACAGCTTTTTTTATGCCTTACTAATCTATGTGACGTTTTTTTGACATACATCATACATGAAATTTTTTTTTCATTTTTTATGCTAATTTTACTAGACGTATTTTATGCCTTACTAATATAATGACTTTTGTTTTTGTTTTTTATGCCTTACTATACTAGTGATACCAATTTCCTGACATACGATATATATTTGATGACTGTTTTTTTTTAGATTTTTATGCCTTATTACAGTATGACGTTTTTATGCCTTACTATACTATGATGTTTTTTGAGCAATATCTCTCTCTATAT